TGAGATTATAACTTCTGAACTAGGAGTGGGTGGGAGCAGAGACAGGGAGTCAAACTGAGAAAAAAATAATCCATCCTAAAAAACATAGAGGAGATAAAAGAATATAAGAAAATTAAGACAAGTAAAATGATGGAAATAAATTAAATATATTACTCATTACATTGAATATAAATGGATAAAAATGATCAAATCAAATTCAAAAGAATGTAGATACATTACCATTTATTAATGATACCTTCATGTAACAGAAAAGTTGAAATTTTAAGTTTAAAAAGATATCAGACAAATTCTGACAATCTGGGATTACTTTAATCCAAGTTCAAGGCCAGAAGTAGTTCAGCAATGGGCTGCCATCCTGAAAGGGCCAAGTAGTTTTCTATCCCCTTTTAACTCCCAGGTTTAGGGATTTGGGATTCCAGAGCCATTGCTCAGTCCCACATGCGTGGTCTTGTTTCCCAGCTTTCCTCCTCCTGGCCCCACAGGGCTGCCAGCAGTAACGCTCAGCCTCCTGGCTGCCTCTTCCACAGTGACAGCAGCTCTTCAAATGAAAGCAGCCCTGTGGGCTGGCTTCACCCCTCTGGGTTTTCATCTGATCCTCATTTTAGCTATCTTACTAGCTCTTTGTTGTATTTAAGAACATTCCCCACCCTCATCTTTTGTCCGTTGCTTTTTTGTGATGGCTTCCTCAGGTTGACAGGTTGATTTCATTTAATTTGAATTGTCTAGTCCTCCATCACCGTAAGTATAAGAACCTGATGCCTCACTTTCTCAATCTACACAATGTTTTCAAATGCCTGTCTCGTCTGCCCACCTAGACTGTTAAGTCTTTTGAACATAGGAAAAGAGTTATACTAATTTTATATACCTCTTGATACCTGATAAAGCACTCTAAACAGATGGTCAGAGAATTATTAAATAAAGTTGAATTTGCCTTTGTGACTCTATTTGACAGTATTCAGAACAGGTTAAATAGATCAATATTTAAATACAATGTCTTATAGCTAAAACATATACTGATAGGTATGCTTTGACACATTATATTTTTCACCAAAATGTAGGGAGAAACAGGTTAAAAGCACAAGAAAGTAGAATCACTATTAATTTTTGTGATTTAACCTTCTTAAGACAGAATTTGTCAAATTTAGGATTTGTTAGGCTAAGTCAGTCTGGATATATTTATAAATGAAAGAGGAGGTGGCACTTATAAATTAAGACAGAATACTGATTAAATATAGAGAAAGTATTTCCACTAAAATCCTTATCTGAAGATTTTTATGTTACTAAACAGGATGAAAGGTCCTTAAATGACCCCTAGTTGGTCATTTATGTCTAATTCAGTCTTACCACTTCCTGTGCATAATCAGCCAATGCTAGTAAAATTCCATTCAATTGGTTTCTTTTTAGTAAAGTTTCTTATGCTACTCAAATGATACCTTATATTAAGTTGTTTTGCCCACATGATTGTATAAATTATTGAATTCAAAATGTTTTCTGTTTCACACTGTAATTTTCTTTTCAACCCAAGGGTCATTTAGAAGTATATATCTTAATTCCCAAACATATAAGATTTCCTGATTATCTCTCTGCTCTTGATTTCTAGTTTAATCTCATTGAGTCTAGAGAAAGATACTCTATGACAGCAATCCTTAAAAAATGCTTAAGTTTTCTTTATATCTTTTTTTAAATATAAAAATTTGTACTTGATATTCTATGCATGTTCATGAGGTCAGATTTGCTAAGTGTTATTGTTTAATTCTTTTGCACTCTTACTGATTTCTTTTGGTAATGCGGAAATGATGAAATCTGTAACTCTGAATTTGTCTTCTCCTTGTACTTGCAATTTTTGCTCTAAATATTTTGAGAATTTATTAGGTTTATCTAATTTAGAACTGTTATTTCCTCCTAGTGTTTTGAGTGGTTTATCATTATGAAATGTCTCTCTATTTCTGTATTGCTTTTTTGCCTTAAAGTCAGCTTTGCATGAATAAAATAGGTTTGCATGGTATATATTTTCTACTCTTTTGCTGTGGAAAGTACATTTGTGTGTCTGACAGATAATAGATTCAGAGAAGGGAAGGTAACTCTTTACACCAATAAGTAGGATATATATGACCTCATTGATTCATCCAGTGATAATTTATTATCTGCAGTGTGCCAAGATCTATGCCAAACACAATTTTATTTTTAAAAGGAGTTATGATCTAATGCAAGGTACAAAATGGAATTGGCACAGAAGGATTTTTTGCTAAGCTCGTTCTTAGAGTCACTGATGCCTACAGGTGGTCTTATAACTTCTCTACTTATATACATATAAGTTTTGAATATCAAATATGGTTATAAGTGCTCATCTTTTTTTAAAACCACAAACTAATGTAATAATAATAATGGCTGACATTTCAAGCATTACTCCATACCAGGGCTGTGTTTAATTTTTTTTATTATTGTTCTATGACAGTTGTCCCAGTTTTCCTCCATTGCTCTCCCCGCCCCCACCCATCCACCCCCACTCCCATAATCAGTCCCCACCCTGTTGTCCAGGTCCATGGGTCATTTATACCTGTTCATTGATTAGACTCTTCCCCTTCTTTCCTACTTCTCCCCTTCTCCCTTCCCCACTGGTCACTGTCAGTCTGTTCTCCTTTTCTATGCCTCTGGTTCTATTTTGCTCATTTTATTGTTTTATTCATTAGATTCCTCATATGGTATTTGTCTTTCACCTCCTGGCTTATTTCACTCAGCATAATACTCTCCAGTTCTATCCATGCAGTTATGAAAGGTAGGAGTTCCTTCTTTCTTTGTGCTACATAGTATTCCATTGTGTAAATGTACCACAGTTTTTTGATCCACTCATTTACTGATGGGCACTGAGGCCGTTTCCAGCACTTGGCTATTGTAAATTGTTCTGCTAAGGTCCTTTTGAATTGATGTTTCAGGATTCTTTTGAATTGATGTTTCAGGATTCTTAGGCTATAATCCCAGCAGCGGAATCATTGGGTCAAAAGGCAGTTCCATTTTTACTTTTCTGAGGAAATTCCATACTGTTTCCCACAGTGGCTGCACCAGTCTGCATTCCCAACAACAGTGCACTGGGGTTCCCTTTTCTCTACACCCTCTTCAACACTTGTTTTTTGTTGATTTGTTTATGATGGCCATTCTGACCGGTGTGAAGTGGTATCTCATTGTGGTTTTAATTTGTATCTCTCTGATGGCTAGCGATGTTGAGCATCCTTTCATATGCCTGTGGGCCCTCCGTATGTCCTCCTTGGAGAAGTGTCTGTTCAGGTCCTTTGCCCCTTTTTTAGCTGGATTGTTTGACTTCCTGGTGTTGAGTTATATGACTGCTGTATATATTTTGGAGATCATACCCTTGTCAGAGAGATCTTTGACAAATATAGTTTCCTGTATGGTTGGTTCTCTTTTCAATTTGTTTTTGTTAGCCATGCAGAAGCTTTATAATTTGATGTAGTCCCATTTGTTTAATTTTTCCTTTATTTCCCTTACCCAATAGGATATATAGGCAAAAATACTTCAGCATGGGATATCTGAAATTTTACTGCCTATGTTTTTCTGTAGGACTTTTATGGTGCCACAGCTTATATTTAAGTCTTTTACCCATTTTGAGTTTATTGGTGTATGGTTTATTATGTATGTTATTGTGTATGGTGTAAGTTTATTATGTATGATGTAAGTTCATGCTCTAGTTTTATCGTTTTGCATGTACAATTCTAGTTCTCCAAACACCATTCATTGAAGAGGCTTTTTTTACTGCATTGTATGCTCATGCCCCCTTTGTCAAATATTAATTGACTATAGAGACATGGGCTTATTTCTTGGCTCTCTATTCTGTTCCATTGATCTATGTGTCTATTCTTATACCAGTACCAGACTGTTTTGATTAGAGTGGCCTTGTAATATAGTTTGGTTTCAGATATTGTTATTCCTCCTACTTTGTTCTTCTTTCTCAAGATTGCTGAGGCTATTCAGGATTGTTTTTGGTTCCATATTAATTTTTGAAATATTTGTTCTAAATCTGTGAACTATGTCATTGGTATTTTAATAGGGATTGCATTGAATCTATTGATTTCTTTGGGTGGTATAGACATTTTAATGATGTTAATTCTTCCAAGCCATGAACATGGTTTATACTCCCATTTATTTCTATCTTCCTCAATTTCTTTCTTCAGTGTTCTGTAGTTTTCCAGGTACAGGTCTTTTACCTCCTTGGTTAAGTTTATTCCTAGATACTTTATTTTTCTTGTTGCTATAGTAAATGGGATTTTTTCCTAGTTCCTCTTTCTGATATTTCATTGTTGGTATACAAAAATGCCTTCAATTTTTCAGTATTGACTTTGTATCCCACTATTTTGTCAAATGCACTTATTAAGTCAAGTAGTTTTTGGGTTTGTTTGTTTGGTTTTTTTTGGTGAAGCTCATATGGTTTTCTATGTGTACTGTCATGTCCTCTGAAAATGATAACAGTTTTACTTTCTCCTTTCCAGTTTGAATGCCTTTTATCTCTTTTTCTTGTCTGATTGCTGTGGCTAGAACTTCTAACACTATGTTCAATGAAAGTGGTGAAAGTGGACACCCTTGTGTTGTTCCTTATCTTAGGGAGAAACCTGTGCTTAATATTTTACATCTTCGCCACAGTTAATTTTGCCACAGTCCCTGCCTTTTTCTGTTACCCCTCTTGTTACTTTCAACCATGTTTCTATAAATACACAAAAGCCAATATTTACATATCTCAGTTATTTACTCCCTATTTTTATCCCTATTCCTGATAAGCCCTGAGATATAATAAAACAAAATTTTAACGAAATGCATAAACATTTCCAACCTTGAATTGAAAGAGAAGGAAGAATAACTACTTATTCACAGTTGTATGCCTGAGAAGTTAGCAGCACGGAGCTTAGTTTGGCACAGTTACCACTAAACTCACATTACTGTCCTTAATGTGCAATTTTTCTGAAATGTAACCATTTGCTGATTTCTGTCTTTAGGAACCTTATTACGTACGTTGCATCAAACCCAATGACAAGAAATCCCCACAGATATTTGATGACGAACGCTGCCGGCATCAAGTCGAGTATCTTGGATTGCTGGAAAACGTAAGGGTACGACGGGCAGGATTTGCATTCCGCCAGACGTATGAGAAGTTTCTTCACAGGTGAGAGTAGATTCAAAGAAACCTGGACAGTACACTGAGAATTAGAGAGTCTTCCCCATGTATGACAGTGCAAAACATCTGAATATTTGGTGAGTGAACAAAAGAGTTGAGGAAATGGCAGATATGAAACACATTCCCTGGCTGAGCAGAAGGAGTCTTCTTGAGTTTGTGGTTTATGGTGCATAGGAAAAAGTTTATCCTTTGTGAGAAATGTGGGCATCATAGTGTAGTAGGAGGCACAATGATTTGGAGTGACATGTAGGTTGGAATCCTGGCTATGCCACTCACTTGCTGCATAATCTTTGGCCAGAAATGTAATTCCTTTGATTCTGTTTCTGCATCTGTAAAACGGGTGTAGTAACACCTGCTTCAGAAGGCTATTGTCATGAGGACTAACCTTTAAGTAAAAAGCCCAGGTGCCTCGTACACTATAGATGCACAGTTAATGCTGCTTATTATTTCTGACATTATTCAGTACAATTAACCCTTGAACAACACAGGGGTTAGTGGTGCCGACCCCCCCTACATTTGAAAATTCATGTGTGACATTTGACTCCCTCACACTTGACTGCCAATAACCCACTGTTAACCAGAAGCCTTACCAATAACATGAACAGTTGATTAACTCATATTTTGTACATTATATGTATTATATACTTTATTCTTACAATAAACTAAAGGAAAGAATTTTTTTAATTATAAGGAAAATATATTTATAGTATTTATTGAAAAAAGCTGGATATATATATATATAGACTCACACAATCCAAACCCATGTTGTTCAAGGGTCAACTGTATGATAATAACAAAGTATTAGATAGTTGGTCATGAAGGCCCTGAAATTCGCCTACCTGTTTTGAATCCTGGCTTTGCCATTTTGTAGCTCTGTGATCTTTGGTAAGTTATATCACCTTTTCAGGCCTCAGTTTGCTCACGTATAAAAGGGGGTAATAATAGTAACTGCTTTGTGAGGTTGTTAGGGGATTAAATGAGATAATATATAAAAAGCACTTAGAATAGTACCTAGTATATATTAGTCATTCAATTAATATATGATTGCTATTGCTATTTATTGTTAATAACAATGATAGTTGACAACTGGAACTCATAAAAATAATGTTTTAAATTCCATCTGTGCACTTATTTAAAAGTATTTATTGAATGTTTTCTCTGTTCTGATTCCACAAAAATATGATTAAATAAATAATAAGAGAGTAGGTGGTCAGAAGAGTCTCTAAAAAGATAGGAAGGACAGGAACTAATTGGCCAAACAAAGATCAGAGAAAAGAGCAGGTGGGGCAGAGGGCACAGCAGGGGAAGGCACTATTGCTGTGATAAGTGTGGTGTGTTGGGTACCAGACATGGTCCATGTGGTCAAGGGATGCTGGCTGAGTGACAGGGCAGTGATGTGAGATGAGATCAGGTTGACAAACAGGGACTAGATCATGTTAAACTTTGTAATCCAGACTAAACAGTTTTGATTTTGGCTAAAGGTGATGGAAAACCATTGGTGGATATTAAGCAGGGAGTGACACAATCTTATGGATGCTTTAAGAGATCACTGTGGTTGCTGTGTGAATAGAAAGCAAGGTAATGGTCATGGGTACTATTGCAAGAGTACAGGCTTGCACTCTTATTGATGGCATAATGGTGGAACTTTGAATAGGGGATCATTGTAGATCCAAGGGTAGTGGGCAGATTCAGGGTGTGTTTTGGAGGAAAGGTGACAAGCCATGTTCATGGTTTGGCTAGATGAGAGAGGAATGATGAATTTGCTGAAATAAGGAAGATTGGGTCAGAGAAGTTTGGGGGGGCATGGAACAGGGGGCAAAAATGGAATCAAGTTTTGTCTTTTGACTGGGTTTAAGTTTGAAATGCCAACTAAATGCCTAGGTAGCTACTAGGTATACAAGTCCATATCTGGAGTAGGCTGGAGATAGAGATTTTTGTGATTAGTATGTAGATTATGTATTAAGTCTTGGAATTTACTAAAGAAGAGGAGGAAAGTCATGCCTCATTTAGGTGTGTGGTCTGACCTGAAGGAACCAGCAAAGAGAGGGAACAACCAATAAAGTAGAATGCCAGGAAAGGGTTATGTCACAGAAGCCAAGAGAAGGAGGCATTTCAAGAACAAAAGCACGGTTACCATATCAAGTGTTGCTGTGCAATCAAGTATGATAGAAGCAGAAGCTAAACTATCTCATTTGGCAACATAGAGATCAAAGGAGAAAGGGCTGGGCAGAGCCCGGTTGGAGCAGGGTGGGAAAGTGAAGCGAGGAGCTGATTGCCTGTAGACAACTCAAAAATCCCTAAGAGCTGGGAAAAATGGAAGCAGCAGCTGGAGTGGGATGTGAGGACAGTAGCTACTAGAAAATGTCCGTGTGCACCTGCGGATGATTCAGAACAGAGGGAGAAAACAGGGACCTAGGAGGGAGGTCATTGTAATAACAGCATCCTTGAGACATCAGCTTGCTTTGAGGGAACAAAGAATTTTGCAAATGTGTATCTTTACTGATTTTTAACCTCTTTTGGTTAAATTTTACTTTTAATTTGGTTAATTTTACTTTTAACTCAAAATGTGCTATGCTTTTTTGGCATGGAAGACATGCTATAAGGATTGAATTATGTTTTCTAATACTCTTTGTAAAAACAAAAGAGAACAGATGTGAAAGAACCTCTGAATTTTAAATATAATGGTCTCAGTAGTCCAAGCTTAAATTTCCCATTCCCACTCCAAATAATATAAAATATGTATAATTAAAACCAATTAAATGTACAGCCACACTATAAAATCAAAAGAGGATTCTCAGTGAACCTTGAAAATGTGAGTCACTCCTAACTATGATATGAAGCAGATGGGAAGACCCAGCAGTAGGCCAAGGTTGCAGCTTAGGCTGCAGGGGAAGACTGACTGCCTTGTGAGGCTTGAGCTGCCATTCAGGAAGCCACCCCAGGTACTGTGCTGGAGTTTACAGAGCTGCAGCATCAGGAGGTTGCCAAAATGGCCAGGACAAGTCACCACCTCAGCAGCTGCAAGGGAAATATCATAGGTGTAATGGCCAAGACCCAGGAAGCAAAGGGAGCCACCTTACAAGAGGCCAGCAAAGGCCCAGATGTGCACATAGCCAGATGTGCACTTGCTCCAGGCCTCATTGCCAAGTAGCCAAGTAGTGGGGGAGCCGTATCTGTACTCACTGGGCATCTGAGCTTATAATCCTTAACAGTGCATTTCCTCACAATTCAATGTAGGGCTTTCTAATCAAAGGAGGTAATAAACTAGAGTAAAGAAAACAGTCTGCCCTGGGCAGGTGGTTCAGTTGATTGGAACATCGTCTCATACAGAAAAAGTTGTGGGTTCTATCTCCAGCCAGGGCATGTACCTAGGTTGTGCGTTCAATCCCTGATCAGGTCACATATGAGGCAAACAATTGATGTTTTTCTCTCACATCAGGGTTTCTCTCTCTCTCTCTCCCCCTCTCCCTCCCTTCCCCCAGGCCCCCCCCACTCTCTCTCTTTTGTCCTTTCCTCTTTCTTTAAAATCAATAATTATGTCTTCAGGTGAGGATTAAAAAGAAGAAAAACTTAGTCTATCCAAGAGGAAAACAGGGTAGGAAGCCACAATAGAAAAGCACACCTAGTGGAAAATACAAAATGAGAAGGTGAGAAAATTGAAATGTGTTAATAATTAGAAATATTTTAACTTACTCTTTAAAGGACAGAGTAATGGAAAGACTGAAGTCTGTCTAATTACTGATTATTTGAGATTAGCTCCTCTCTAGAATCATCTCCGGCAGTGAGAAAGATCTCGGCAGGCTGTCCATCTGGGAAAGCAGCCTATTCCTGTTCCGAAGGCTGTGTCTGCCTCCTGCTTTATATAAATAAGTTTGTTCGAATAGAGAAATTGGCCTTTTTTTTATCACACGGACTTTACAGTGGGACATGGGGTAGAATAGAAGGTGTGTAGGACAGTGAACTGATGCTTCCAGTGATGGAGAAAAAGTAATATTTCCACACTGAATTTTTACTTTGAGATTTGGCAGGCTTTCTATGTAAGCTAGCTTTGAACCTAAATTTTTACTTGTCACCTTTCTTTTCATTCTTTTATTGAAAAAGAGAAGGATTTTTTAAATGCTTTAAGAACCTTAAATGCTGCTAAATCTTCCAGGGATATAAAACTAGTTGTCAGAAAGCAGGTGAGTTCAGCTTTTTCATTTGCACGTTTCGGATGCTGGTTTGCCGGGAGAACTGGCTGGGGTCTAGCCCCTCACTGTGGGGAAGACGGGAGGATGCCTCGACCTGGACGCGTTCGCTGAGCAGTATGACTGCAGGGTTGCTCCCGGTTTCCGCTGCGTGCCTAAGCTTCAAACACAGTGTTCCTCCCCACGTTATAGCCCAAGTGTTGATTCTTACTCTTGTTTCATAATGATTTTGGAAGGCTTCTGATTTTGTTTCCCTTTTCACATGATGCTGTGTAATACTACCTCTCTTCGTCTGGTTTCTATTTCTGTCCCTATCTGGCAAGTGAGTAGACTTTTAAATGTATTTCCTTCCATTTTTTTCTTTCACGCAACAAATATCTATTTCCTTGTCATATGGCAGGCAATATGATATATAGCAGGGAACAAAACAAAGTCCCTTACTCCATGGAACTAGTGAGAGAGACTGGCATTAAACAGATAAACCCACAAATCAATATGATGAATGGTATAAGAATAAAAGAAACCCACTTCCGCCAAGATGGAGGTATAGGTGGATGTGCCGTGCCTTCTCACACAACCAAGTTTAGGGACAACTAAATATTAGCATCAGAAAACACAACCAGAACACGGAAAATTGAACTTTTCGGAAGTCCATTAACAACAAATTCTTCAGCCCGACCAGTAAGGGGCGAAACCGGCGTCTGGTGAGGGGTTGCACAGGAGGACTGAGTCGGACCCGGGCGCGTGAATCCAGACGCGTGAATCCAGACGCACGGGTTCCAAACCCAGGATTGGACCTAGTGAGCGACCGAGCAACCCACCGGGTGAGCCACTGCAGAGGAGACAGTGGGGAGGCGGTGCTGCATGTTGACTGCGGTTGCCTATTTGCGGGCGAGCTGACAGGCGAGGGAGTGGGCGGTTGGACCGGGGCCCAGCGTCCCCCGCGGCAAGCGGCAGTAGAGGGCGCCGCCATTTCCCCGTTCAGACCACGCCCCCACATACAGCGTCACAACCCAGCGACCTGGGAGTCCAAGGCGCCGCTTCTCACATTTAAAGGGCCAGAACAGACCAAAAATGTCACAGGAAGACCTCAAAGCCCCAGAGATAAATCTAAGCAACAAAGAAATAGCAAAACTCTCAGACGCACAGTTTAAAACACTGGTCATCAGGATCCTCACAGATCTGGTTGATTATAGCCACAAATTAGAGAAACATATGAAGGCTAAACTAATGGAAATGAAAGGAATTCCACAGAAAACCCATAGCGTTGAAAAGGAAACTGGGACTCAAATCAATGGAGTGGACCAGAAGAAAGCAAATAATGGCCAAACAGAAAAGAGTCAAGGAGCAAGAATTCAAAGAAATGAGGAGAGACTTAGGAACCTCCAGGACATCTTTAAACGCTCCAATATCCGAATTATAGGGGTACCAGAAGGGGGAAAGACACAACCACCAGTGGAAAACTTATTTGAACAAATAATAAAAGAAAATTTCCCCAATCTGGCAAAGGAAATAGACTTCCAAGAAATCCAAGAAGCTCAGAGAGTACCAAAAAAGTTGGACTCAAGAAGAAACACACCAAGGCATATCATAATTACATTAGCCAAAATTAAAATGAAGGAGAGAATCCTAGAAGCAGCAAGAGCCAAGGGGACAATCACCTACAAAGGAGTCCCCATCAGACTGTCAGCTGATTTCTCAAAAGAGACCTTACAGGCAAGAAGGGGCTGGAAAGAAATATTCCAAGTCATGAAATCTAAAGACCTACAACCAAGATTGCTCTATCCAGCAAAACTTTCATTTAGAATGGAAGGACAGATAAGGTGCTTCTCAGATAAGATCAAATTCAAGGAGTTCATCATCACCAAGCCCTTATTATATGAAATGTTAAAGGGACTTATCTAAGAAAAAAGAAGTTAAAGAAACATGAACAGTGAAAGAACAACAAGCTCACAGTTATTAACAACCACACCTAAAACGAAAGCAAACTAAAAGGACAGCTAGATCAGGAGTGGAAACATAGAAATGAAGATCTCAAGGAGGGTTAGCAACAGGGGAGTGGGAGGAGGAGATGGGGGAGAAGGTACAGAAAATAAGTAGCATAGACAGTAGATAGAAAATAGATGGGGGGCAAGAATAGCATGGGAAATATAGAACCTAAAGGACTTGAGACACATGGACATAAACTAAAGGGGGGGAAATGGTGGGGATGGGGGGGGCAGGGTGGAGGGGAATGAAGGGGGGAATAGAACAACTGTAACAGCATAATCAATTTAAAAAAATAAATAAATAAAAATAAAAAAAATAAAATAAAGTGTCTGCCTCTGAGCAGAGGGGCTGAAGGAGCAAGGAGAGAGAACCGTATTTTCATTTTATATCCATTTTATTTGAATGCTCAACTACGTATTATCATTATTTTCAAAATAAAAGCAGGTGTTATCTGGGGAAAAAAAAAAAAAGAATAAAAGAAACCCAGCCAGAGGTATTAGAGAGGAATGATGGGTGTAAGGACTGAAGGCTGATAAAGGAAGATTAAGGTAAGACTGAAGGATGAGAAGGAGCCAGCTTTTCAATTAATAGATTTAAAAAGCATTCCAGGCAATGGGAACAGTATATGCAAAGGCACTAAAACAAGAAAGAGGCAGCACGCATTACAGGACCCTGAAGAGGCCTAGTGTGATTAGAGGGATGGAGGTGAGGAGCAGTGGAAGGCCAAAATGAGGACCTTTTTAGAAAACTACTCTGGCTGCTGAGTAGGCAGAGTGCATTAGAGAGGAAATGGAAGATAATTTCAGGATTCTATTGTAGTAATCTTGATGGTGGCTTGGAGTGGGATTGTGGCAGTAAAGAGGAGAAAAGTTGAACTTTAAATATATTTTTTAGAGGTAGAGCCTATAGGACTTAATGATGGATTTGAAGGCATGATAGAAAAGAGAAGGGATCAGTGTGAGTCCCAGGATTCTGGCTTTAGTAACTGAGGGCATTGAGGTGGGGAAGATTGAGAGAGACGTTTAAGATGTCTTCAGGGTCCAGGTAGGCAATGAATATATGAGTCTGAAGCTCAGAACTGAGAGCTGGGCTAGGGATAATAAATTCATGAATTGAAAATAAAGTGGATAGAGCAGATGAGGTGATGTGGGAGGGTGTACATAGAGACAGGAGGAACTGATGTGAGCCCTGGGAAGCTCCAACATTTGGGTCCAGTAATAGAGAAGCAGTAGCCAGAAAATGAGATTGAGGGGAAATATCCAGAGAGAATGAAGGAAGTAGGGAGAGCATGTTGTCACAGGAGCTATGAGAGGAGCTAGGAAAGAGATGTCAAGAAAAGGGCTGATGCTGTTTAGATGTACCGTATATTTCCTTAACCAAAAATGTGTAAAACGAAAAGTTTCCTGAAAGGCACAGAAAGAGCCTTTAAAAAATAGAAAGCCAGCTTGTGTTCTTGGATAGGACAACTCAACATCATAAATAAATTTAATTACCGCGGGAACCTGATAGAAATGCCAGAAGGATTTTTTGTTTGTTTTTTTATTGTTTTTCCCTGGAACTATGTAAATTGATTGTGAAGTTTATGTGGAAAAACAAATAGGCAGAAATAGCCAGAAAGAACTATAAAAAAGAAAAGATACTAAAATATACTTTAATATCTATAATTAAAACCGTGCAGTGCTGATGCACAGAGGGACAGGCACTGCAGTGAAACAGACCAGGAAGTTCAGAAATGAACTGAGTGCATATGAAATTTAGTAAACGATAAAAATGACACCATAAATCACAGGGAGAAAAACAGACTGTTTAGTAAGTAGTGTTGGGAATAGCCTTTTATCAGAAGATAAAATTGGATCCATTCCTCATTCCCTATACCAAAATAAACTCCAAAAGGATCAGAGATAAAAGTAAGAAGTAAAACTATATATGTAGTAGAACACACAAATGAATTACTCTGTAACCCCAGTGTGAGCAAAGTCTTTCTCACTATGACTTAAATTCAAGTGCAGTATATGAACAGCAGCACCAAACTTGACTACAAGTATTGAACAGGTTTGGGCCTGAGGGCTGAGGGAGGTGTCACCATGGTAGGCGGCCTTCCAAGCTGGTCCCAAGATCCCCACCTCCTGATATTCACCCTATGCAGTCCCCTTCCCTCACGTATGTCCTGGGCCTGGTGATTTACTTCCAACAAAATGGAATATGACAAAGGTGGTGAGATGTCACTTGTGATATTAGGTTGCAAAAGTCTGTGACTCTGACTTCCATTTAGCTGACACTTTTGCTCTCATGAGGCTGGAGTGTGGTGAGTGCCCCATGAGAGGCCCACATGGCAAGGAACTGTTGGCTGCTTGTCGTAGAAACACAGTTGGGTTTCTTATATTCATCTTACAGGCAGAGTACCGCTTAATTTTCTGTCAGCAATGATAGCTTCATTGGTTTGATTTCCCCTGAAGCAAGTATATTGTTCATAAGTAATGTTAGTTTTGTTCTTTTCCTAACCACTTACCAGTTTGCTTATTAATCTCCCTGTGCTGGTTACAGAACTCATAATAGAGGCATCCTTGTCTTGTTTCTGTTTGTAACAAGAATGGTTCTGAAGTTGCCCCTTTATGAATGATATTTGCTGTAAGTTTTTGATAAATGGCCTTTATTAAATTAAGAAAGTACTCTTCTAGCCCTAGGTTAATAAGGGTTGTTATCATGATGGAGCATTGTATCTTATTGAAGGTTTTTTCTACATCTCTTATCAGGCTATTAAATTTATTTCTATTCATAGTTTGTTAAGAAGTGTTTTTTCATATTCTGAGAACTTTGTATTTCTTTCTTTGAAGCATCTTGAATTTGATGGAATCGTTTTTTGTATCTGTTGAGATCATGCTGTTTTTCTCTCTTAATCTGTGCCCTGTTCTTTTTTCACCCAGGTATAAGATGATCTCGGAATTCACCTGGCCCAACCATGACCTCCCTTCGGACAAAGAAGCTATCAAGAAGTTGATTGAACGATGTGGTTTTCAGGATGATGTAGCTTATGGAAGGACCAAAATTTTCATTCGCACACCCCGAACATTGTTTACCTTGGAAGAACTCCGGGCCCAGATGCTCGTAAGGATTGTCCTCTTTCTGCAAAAGGTAATTTGATACTTTATAAACATGGAGAAGGCCTTGTTTTGACGTTCTTAAACATCTGTTGAACATTTTCTTAGATTCAAGAGATGTTCGTGATGGTGGTGTTTTTTTGTTGGTGATGGTATCTGCGTGTATCTTAAGATGATTTCTGTTGTGTTCACACATGGAAAACTTATTTGGCTGTCAGAGGCTCATAATCATTTTACCCTCAAAACTTGGGTTTTGTCTTCTGGTATTTAAAGGTGGAGAAATGTCTCAAACAGTCTGTTTTTTGTCTCGTAGTTAACTGAGTTTGCTTTAGCTTAACTGTGTAAAGGACTTTTTAATCTTGTAATCTTGTAACTCAAAAGTTTTGCCAGCATGTTTGAAACAACCTCCCTCATCCGTCATTACCCACCACCCACACTCGACTGAGGTGTGGAATGTTGACTTATTGATGGGCATTTGATTGTGGTACCTGTCACTGATCTGTACAGGCCCCTTCTCATTTCACTCACTCAGACATTTTTTTTTATTTCCTCATACCCATCTTCATACCTTCTTTATGAAGCATTTCAGTGTCAAATATTATATGAGTACTGTTTCTTCACATAAAGAAATGACGTACCTCTGTGAGAATGTCCTAAGGGTAAATACATCAGTGGAAAGGTGGCTGGGCCATGTAGACCCAACTGGTCAAGGTGGGGCCAGGTTCCTCTCCAAAGTGACCCTGCTGGGTACTGTGCCCACATCCTGGTGGTGTCATCCAGCTGCCTGCGCATGTTGCCAGACTCACAGGTGTAATGACATCTCATTGTTTTACTTTTTATTTCTCTGGTTACCATTGAATTTGAACATCTCATTAAATACTTGTTTGCTTTTTGATTTTTCCTATAAACTGCTCATTCATATCCTTTGTCTATTTTTTTTTGCTGGAGTTGATATCGTATTCTTGTTGATCGTCAGGAATTCCTTGACCACTTTAGACATAAATCTCATATTCACTTTAGACTTTACAAATAGATACTCCTATTCTGTATGCATTCTAATGAACTTCGTAATATGCATTGTTGAAGAGAATCCTTAATTTTGACATAATCAAATTCTTCAGTATTTCATCTTATATTTTGTGCTTTGGAATTTTGTTTAAGAGGGCTTTCTCTATCTGTAGGTCACAAAGATGCTATCCCATACTTTCTTCTATGAACTATATACCTTTACCTTTCACATTTAGGTCTTTAATCCATTTATAATCCACCCGTGTATGTGGTTCTAGGTAGAAACCTGGTTTCATTTTCTTCTGTATGATGAGCAGTTTATCTTAGTACCGTCTACTAAGCAATCTGTCCCTTAGCAGTTGGTATTTTATTTTATATTAAATATGTATTCTGTTTCTGAGTACTCTGTTCTGTTTTTATATCTGCCTGTTTTTGCACTAAGACCACACAGTTTTTATTGTAGTGTGCCCTAGTAGATGGTAAAATCAGTCCATCTTAAGAGTGATTAACCTATATATATATAGACCTTTATTCTGCAGTATAAATTTTTATGTGTGTTTATTATATTCATTAAATTCAACAATACTTTCTGTTAGGACTGCACTGAATTTATAGATTAATTTGAAAGGATTGACATTTTTACAATATTGAATCATCTTAAGAGTATAGAATTGGCTTTTATATAAATCATTTCTCTCTTTGACCTCTAGACTTAGAGATTCCTTATGAATTCATGGTTAATTCCTGGATATTTTTTATTGTTTGTGCTACCACCGGGAATGTTTTATGATATTTTGTACACGGCATTGTTGATTCAGAGAACTAATGTTGGCCTGTATGGGTGTACCTGTGTCTAGATGAGACCTTTGGTATGTTTGTTAATTCTCTTAGTTTTTCTGGATAAATGATTCTATCATGTGCAGATAATGGACATTTTCTCTTCTCAGTTGCCAAGATGTTTCTAAGTGTTGGTCTCTTTCATTTATTTTGCCTGGAATTCAGAAAAAATCTTGGAATGGAATGCTGAATTCTATTGTATCCTAAAACAGTTTCCTTCTATTTTTTTTTCATTGTTTTTACTCAGTTACGTTTTCTTTCTTAAGTTACTGCTAATAAATTGACAGGTTTGGATCTCTGCTTTCTGTTTGCCGTAGTACATTACTTTTGTGCCTCTGTTGCTCAGTGCTTACCAGTGGTGTTTTTTGTTGTTGTTTTGCATGTCTGGTACTTTTTCTTCTGTATATGTATCCAGGAGGTTGACTCAGACTCAGGGTTTGGCCCTGAACTAGTATGGACATCCATACCTGTCATGACATACCATATATGACATACCTGTCAGTGTGTTTGGGACGGCCCTGGTCTGTGACTCTTTTGTGTTATAACTATGAGTAGTATCCCTTTCACTCTCAACACTGTCCCAGTATGGATGATAAACTGTCCCTTGAACTCACTTTCTGTTGCTTGGTGGCTGGTAGAACCCTCTAAATTTCCTCAAATTTACAGGGACAGTTTGTTCTTTCACATTTGTCAGCATCCCACAAACTTCAGTCTCTGGCAGCTCTGCTAGCCATAAACAGGACCCACTCCTCTCCCTCCCAGCCCCACAGCCAGCTCTTACATACAAATTGTAGTTCCAGGTATATACACCTGCTAGGGCTCTTCCTCATTCAGTCCTCTCTCCAGCACCTTTGCTTTCTTTCTGGTGAGAAATTAGAGTTTCTACCTAGAAAAGAGATTCTGAAGACAAAGGGATGACTGCTTTGAAAACCACCACCCGCACCGTGGAGGGGAAGCTGTCCAGGTTTTTCTGAGATGTGGGTTATGCATTCCTTAACCTCGAGGCGGTACATTCAGGAATGGGGACCTTCCTCCCAACTCTCAGGCAGGCCATTCTGGGGGCTACACATCCGATCTGTTGATTGTGTTTTGTAGACTGCTCCATGAGTATAAAGTTAGTGGAAATTTCTGTCAGCTTCTGGGAATAGATCACCAGTCACCTAACTTTCCATGTGATGTTTTCACATTTTCTATATCTTTATAGGAATCTAATGGAAACTTAAAAGAGACAACATCAAGGGTACTATTTTAGCCCTGATCAGTGTGATTCAGTTGGTTGGACATTGTCCCACACACCCAAACGTCATGAGTTTGATGACTGGTCAGGGCACATGCAGAAGGCAGCCAATCAATATTTCTCTCCCTCTTTTTCTCCTTCCTCTAAAAAAGAAGTAAATAGTTTTTAAAAGGATGTTATTTGAAATAAGAATCTCCAACCATTGGTTTTTATTCCCTTTTTCAATTAAAAATAGCTTGTATTTTTCTTTGATTATGTAATTAAAGTATGCTCATTGTAAAAACAAGTTCAAATCATACAGAAAAGTATAAGGAAAACCATTGAAAATCACCTAAAATCACAGCATCCAGAGGTAGCACCATTGTTGTGACCATCCTCTGTGAGGTCTTTCTGTGCATATATCAAGGCATATATTCTATGCTATAGATGAAATCACAGCTCATGTGATGTTTTTAATACTCGCCTGTCTTTTTCTACTGTATTTCATTACTCTTGTCCCCACATTTACCTTCTCTGCCCACATCTTCTCTTTTCTCCTGTGTCAAGGGTCCCCAAGACCACTCCCAGTTTCACTGACTCACTGAAAGGACTTACAGGACTCAGCAGATAGTCATACTCATGAGTAAACTTTGTTACAAAAAAGGATGCAAAGCAGAGTCAGCAAAGGGAAAAGGCACATGGGGGAAGGCCCAGAGGAAACCAGGAGCAGACTTCCAAGAGTCCTCTCTCAGGGGAGCTGCACAAGACACTCTCAGTTCCTCCAGCAGTAGTTGTGACAACACATGTGCCAAGTGTGACCTACTAGGAACCTCACTGGAGCCTCATTGTCCAAAGTTTTATTGAGGGGCTGGTCACAGAGGTACCTCTGCCTAGCTTGTACCAAAATTCCAGATTCCCAAAAGGAATTCAGGTATTCAGCATAAACCACATGGTTTATACAAGCAGTTTAAGCACATTAAACCACTGTTATTTAGGGAAAGCTTTCTATCAGTGTGGGAAACTGTTTACCAGCCAAGTTCCCAGACACCAGCCAAGGGCCAACCAACTTTACCTGCGGGCCTGAGGATGGCAGTCTCAGGCCCTTTGTGTTAACTCTTTCCTGGGCGCCACACACAGTCTTCCCATAATTTTAATAGACTTTTTTTATATATAGAGCCTTCCATACTGTTGCCTTCATTTCTGTGCACTGTATTCCTAGGAGCAGAATTATTGATTAAAAGGTATATATGTTTATAACTATAATGGACATTCACAATTCACATTTCTGCCCCCAATGTCAGTGAACTCTTTTCCCTACTTTTTATTTATCACAGTGCTGTTTATTCCTTTAAGAACAGTTGGTTTTGGAGGTTCTGGTTTTAATAAATATCCATGATTCTGCCTCTTCCAACTTGTCATTGAATCTTTAATAAGGCACAAAAAATAAATGAATATACACGAAAAGCCAGGTTCTCACATGTGAAGACCTATTAAGATATACTGTAAGAAACACAGTATGTTATCAGCATAGGAATTGACTGTGGAATAAAACAGTAGGTACTGAAACAGATTCAAGTATATATGAGAATTTAATAGTAGACAAAGGCAGAGTTTCAATTTAGTAAGAAAAAACAGGAATTTTTTATTGAACAGAATTAGAACAGCTGGTTATTTACCTAGGATGAAGCAACATTGGACCCCTATATCATACCATGTACAAAAATAAGTCCCAGATCTATAAATGTTTTGAAGAATCCCAAAAGCTATAAAGAAAAAAATAAGACACACTTCATTATATTAAGTGAAACATTTCATGTTGGAGACTGTACCACAAACAGAGTCAAATGACAAATGGTAGCTTGGGAAAATAATTGCGGTACATAAAGTTAAAACATATTATATATATGTGGCTCCTTCAGATTCATAAGAGAGGAACGAACAATCCAACAGAAGTGCCAAGGATATGAAAAACA